TGCCAGTCCTGCCCCACTCTGCCAGTCCTATCCCCCCTCTCCCAAGTCCTGCCCCCCTCCCAGTCCTGCCCCCCTCTGCCAGTCCTGTCCCACCCCTCTCTCAATCCCTGCCCCCCTTTGCTAGTCTTGCCCACACTCTGCCAGTCCTGCCTATCCCTTTGCCAGTCCTGCCCCCCTCTGCCAGTCCTACCCCATTCTATGCCAAGACCCCATCTCACAGTGGACTGAGCAGCATGGCTGGCACCAGGGCATCAGGAGTGGTCTCTGTGGGCCCTGGGAGCACCCCCAGAGCGAATCAGCCTGGCGTCACCCCTCCCTGCCTCTCACACCGGTGCTGGGTCTGGGGGTGAAGCGCTGCTCCGGCGGGGCCTGGTGCCCTGAGCCTCTGCGCTCGCTGAGCAGAGCAGCTCCGCTAGGGCCACGCGGCCTCATCTGAGCTTTGGTTTCCAGCAGCTGTTTCCACTGCGAGCAGCTGACTCTGCCTGTTCACTGGCCACAGGCTCTGGCGGGACCTGTGCCCTAGGTCCCCTGGGAGACGGGGGCGAGGCCTGTGGAGGGGAGGGTGCTTGTTGTGTCCTAGGGGAGCGTTTCTTCTCACTTCAGATGTTCTGACTGTTCGAGATAGAGTGGCAAAACAGGGACCGCTGTGGGAAACACATACCATGTAGAAATGGATGCTTCGTTTCGTGTTGTATATTTTCAAGGTGTTAGAAAAGAAATATTTTGAACTGACAAAGCTCATAGTGCTGACATTTTGTTTGCTGTGTAGTCCTTGCACATTTTGCACAGTTGTGATCACAGAGTCTGCAGCAGACTTCTCGCACGTTCTGAGATCATCCAACGCTGAGGGCCTCCTGGCATGTGCCTGGCCCTCCCAGTCTCACCGGTGCTGCTTAGGGCCTGCCTGCTGGCCTCCGTGCTGGCCACGACTCCCCTGCGGACCGTGGTCTTCGTGCAGACGGTTCTTCTGATGCACCTCTCGCTCTCTGTCGCACCTGATTTGGCCTCGCAGGCCTGCCTCAGACCCTCTGGCCACAGCCTGGTTCCCCGATTCCTCTGGCCTCCCCAGCACTGTGTGAAGTGCCTCTCGTACCGGGTGCGGTGAATTCCTCCTGCTGTTACAACTGTTGTGTTTCCTTTGTAAACGAGGCAGACACGTCTTCCCATCATTGTGCCCCCCGGTGCCGAGCACAGCAGAAATGCTAGGGAGGGTCTTGAAATGAACTAAGTGGAGGCCCTGGAAGGGAAGGGCTGTTTTCTATGTTTCATGAACTCCCAGCTGAACCGCATGCCTTCTCTGAATATGCCGACAGCTTTCTCCAAGTTCAGCCTCCGTCTCCCCTCACCGCCCAGGGCAGCGTCTCATCAGCGGCCTGCGCAGCGCTGCTGCGGTCTTGGGTTGAGCTTTACTCGCAGAGCTTACTGTTTTCTCTTCCAGGTCTTTGACTTTGAGCTGAGCAGCGAGGATATGGCCACCTTACTGAGCTACAACAGGAACTGGAGGGTCTGTGCCTTGGTGAGGTGAGTGGGTCCCGGGCAGACCAGACTGCAGAACGGAAGCGTAGCTCCCGGCAGCCGTAGCGTCCACGTCCTGTCACCGTCACGGCCTCATTTGGTGCATTTCCTTGCGTTCTGCATGTGCAGCTGGAAACGTTAGCCCTGTGTCAGCCACGGGAAGATGCTGGGCCTCTGCTCTAGTGTCTTCTCGTCCCGGCCCAGGTGCACTGTTGCCTGACCCGCAGTCACGGCACGTTCTGGCATTTCATTTCCACCTCTTACTGTCGGTGGAAACCAGAGGGGCCCAGGGGGCTCCTGCCCCACCTTTGTGGAAGAATTTGCCTGCGGCCCTATCTGATCATGACGCTAATGAAGGGGTGTAGAGGAAGACCGTGGTGCTGGGGCCCGAGATCATCCCAGCTCCGGCACGGATGGGCCACTTGGCTCTGAGATGGTCACTGGACCCTCTGCCTGGCAGTCGCCTGCGGGCCTCCAGCCACACATCCGCTGGTCCTTGTATTCCCTGATTCCTCTGAGGAGGTGACGGGGGTGGCTGTTCATTTCCTTCTCCTGCCTATACAATAACTAAAGTTAGAACTTGTTTTCTTTCAAGAAGAACCGTCCCATTTTCCATGGGAGTCTAAGCGCCTCCTCTCGCTATTCTCACTGTCTGACCTCTCTGCCGGTTCCTCTCTGTCTCCTTACTAGTTAGTTACTCTCCTACACAAAATGTGAACATTCCCTGAGCCAGGTGGGTGGCTAGCTGTCCAGTGCAGGTCTGCCCCCTGGTGGCTTTCGCCGCCCTGGGCAGATGTCCCCTGGTGTGCATCTTGGCTGATAACTCTCCTGTCCAGGTGTGAACACGCTTGAGGTCTCACCCTGACCTCAGACTCAGAACAGGCCACAGAGGTTACCACTGGCAGCCCCCAACCAGGGCCCTTTTTGATGTCCCTGTGTGTGTGAATGCTGTTTAATCTTTAGACATTGAAACCATCTTTGGATCTAGTGGGTAAGGGAGAGAAGTGAATCTTTCGCCAGTTTACACCTGTCTGCTTTCAGAACGTCCCTGCTATCCATTTCATTCCTATCCACCGCTGCCCCCGTAGGGAAGCTCTCGGGGCCGATAGGCCACAGTGGTTTTCTATCTGTTTCTTTACACTTAGACTTCCTCCACTCTCTGGTGCTGTTCTAGACTCCACTATCAGATTAGTCCTTGGGCTACTGATGGTTCGTGGGGATGTTTGGGGTCTGAGTGGGTTGGGAGAGGCTGTCCCCAGCATGCCCAGGGCACCCAGGGAGCTCTTTCTAACACTACATGTTACCTCTGGTGATTATTGTCATTCTTCGCCTCCATTGCTAATGGCGGTGTTTATACCTCAGGTTTGATGGGATACAATAAAAAGCAGATCGCGGGGAACTTTTGAATGGTTCTGAGTATTTAAGTAAGAGTTATATGCCCCACGCGGGTTCACCCTGGGCCTTTCATGCTCTGCCCGGCCAGCCTTCCCAATGTGTATTGCTGTTACGTTCCCAACACAAGCCTTTGGCCCTGCCGGATGGGACTGGACTGGCAAACACGCCCGCAGCTCTCCATCCCCAGGTTGATGCCCTGCCTCGCTCCCAGTTCCTTTTATCGAATCCTCAGCTGCTCACTGGGCTCCTGAGGGACGGAGCATTTCTGTCTCCCTGTACTCGGAGCACATCTCTTATGTCGTCATCACTTCTTAATGTCTGAGACAAGGTGCTCTCCTGTCCTGCCCATTGGATGGAATTATGAGGAAGCAGGAATTGCGTCCTGCTGCCCTGAACACCCCAGACCTGGTGCTGGGCACTGGGAGGGTGGCGTCGTCATTCATGAGAGTCCGTGGCAGAGGAGTCTAAGGGTGGGTGGCTGCCCCCAGTGCAGACCCATGGCCTGCAGCTCAGAGCCGACTTGCTCCTCGCAGGCCTTTATTTCTACCTGTAATGAGACACTCAGCATTTCTGACTTTTTGCAATTTATTTTGGCTGAAATCTCTTAAAAACCTAATGTGTTCCTCTTTCTCTTGACAGCTGTGCCTCCCACCAGAATTATCCCTTCCATGAAGAGTTTTGAAGCTGTGGGTGCCTGCTCTTCCCCAGGCCACCTGCCGCCGTTTCCTGCCTTGTTCTTCCTTTTTCGTGTACGTAGTGTAGTGTGGCCATGTCCCTCACCACAGGGCAGTCACCTGCAGTTGCCCAGCCAGGGTGTGGCCAGCCTGGCATTGGGGCCAGCGAGCAGTCTCAGTAGATTGGAGTCTCTTCCCATTTTCTTTGCCCTTCGTGTCCGGGGAAGATGCAACCTCCATACCCTTTCCTGACTAAGTTGAATCTACAAAGTGAAAATTAGTGCCACTAACAATGGGATTTTGGTTGCTTGGAACTGTAGTCCTTTCAGCCAGACTTCTTCTTGCTCAAATAAAAAGAACTTTTGTGAGTTTGATGCTGTTCGTTTTGGCTTCGTTTGTTGAAATGATTCATCGCCTCTGTCCCGCTCGACCTTCATACCATTGATCCCCACAAAGCAGGCCATTCAGCTCTGCAGCACCAATGAGGGCTTGGCACCTTTCCTTTTGGTGGGGAACCCTGAGCCCCATATTTTACCCAGTTACCCTTAGGGTGATGGGGTTCCTCCGGCTGCACTTTGGAGTCAGCTGGGGAGCTGGAAAGGCCAGTGATGTCTGGACCTCGCCCTGGAGACGGAAGGTAGCCGGGACACCTAGAGTTCGTGTGCCCCCTGAGGGTGCTAATGTGCAGGCCCAATGGGAGCCACAGCTTTAGGGCCAAGCCAGGATGTAAACCCACTGGTGATTTCACTTGTGAGGCCGAAGTCCTGTTTACTAGGCAGTGCTACTCACAAGGAACTGCTTTCATGAGCCCTTTCCTAGACCAGAGGGAAGAGCATCATACCTGGTATCTGTCTTAGCTGGGGCTGCCACACGCAATAGCACAGCAGGGTGCACTGAACAAGTTTATTTCTCACGGTTCTGGAGCTGGCAGATCGGGGTGCCCGCCTGGTCGGTTCCCAGAGGGCCACTTCCTGGCCGGTAGACGGCTCCTCCTCACTGTGTCTTCACGTGACAGAGAAGGATGAAGGCTTCTAAAAAGGGTTACAAAAATAGAGGCCCCCTCCTTTTTATTTTTAACCATTTTTTACTTTTACAAATGCTGTTGCTTTTTTTTTATTAATGTTTCCTTACCCAGAATTCAATTGACGAAGGTGAAGAAAAGGATGGGGTAGGCAGTGTTGACCTTAAATGTCATAGAGAAGATGCTTTGCTGCTCACACTTTACCGGGGGACCATAGCCCCTAGTTATGAGGTGGCTTAACTGCTTGGCAGGTAATCCATGTGTAAGTGGCTGCTAGGCCTCACTCAGGGATAACAGAGCATCAGGCCCCTGAGTGGCTGGGATGGAGCCAAACAGACTGAGCGCCCCACCCGATCACTGCCTGGCAGGCCCGGGCCTGGGCCTCTGCCTGGCACCTGGTCCAGTTTCTCCTGCTGGTTAGACAGGTCCCACCTTATCCCGAGTCAACTGCAAACCTCTTCAGTCACCCTCTACACCAAGCATGTCAAACTCAAAGGCTAACACGGGCCAAATAAACAAAGTTTAAGTTTCTGTGGGCCGCAAAAACAAAAGCTTCAATTTTCATAGAAACATAGGTTTATTTCAATAGAGACATGCTGAATACAAAAGGCTAAAGTAAATGAGTAATCGTTAACATAAAATAATAGAACATTTTAATAACACTAAATAATTGCACAAATTAATAAGTGTAATACAAATAAACCTATTTTTCTTGTTCTCCAAAAGCAAAATATTTCCTGTTGTGCACACCAAACAAGTCAGTCCAAGACTAATGACATGGCAATCGGCTGCTAAAATATTCGCTGCTAGTATTAGTGGAGAGAAATGGTGTACCTGCACATAAGGTGCATAAGGGAAATGAACGCAACACGATTATAGTAATTAGTCATTAGCGAACATTGTAGTTTGTTAATAATTATGTATACCAGGATATTGTAAAAATTAAGTTACGAAATTTTTTATTAAAATGTTTCTTACATATCGTTATATTGGCTAGGTCCCAAAAATATTCATTGTGGGCTGCATTCGGCCTACAGGCCGAGAGTTTGACATGCTTGCTCTACATCATCGAGAGCAGACGACTGTTTCATTGTGCTAGGTTAACTCCACTGTAACCTAGTCCCTACCCTTGTTTCTCAGTCCAGAATCGGCTAAACACACTTTTGGAAAACTTCTAGTCCCTAGAAAGAGTTTTAAAAGCTGCCTGCCATCTGGATCCCTGAGTAAAAACATATCAAAAAAGACTTGAAAAGTCAGCCAGAAGCACCAACGAGATAAAAGGCCCTGCACTGGCCTGGTCTGCGCTCTCCCAGAGACTGTGAGATGATATCTGGGAGCCTCGCCTGGGGACGGGGGAGGAGGAAATCAAGGCCTCCCACAAAGGTTCGCTCTGTGCTTTGAAGATAAAATAGCAGTCTAGGCGGCAGCCTGTGTTCCCAGGAGCGGGCGGGGGCTGGCACGGTGGTGCTGGCCTGTGGTGGTGGTGCTGGCCTGTGGCGGGAGGGAGCACAGGTGAGGCTGCGGGCTCGGTGGGGCCAGCTTCACGCCACTGCTAACAATTGACCTGAGTTGGAGCAGAGAGAGGCGGGAGGTCTCCATAGAAAGAGGCCGCTTTCCCCATGGACAGCCCGTTCCTCCTTCCCTTTGTAGAAATAAAATCCCATACCTTCTGGGGCAGGTCCCAGCCCAGCCTCGGGGCTCAAGTGGAGTCACTGTGATACAGTAAAATACAGAAGACATCGTGAAACAGCTGGAATTTTACCAAAACAGAGTTCCGGCCAAGAATTAACAAGATAACGAGACCAATTGAAAGACGGAGCTAAATGTTATTGAGTCGTAGGGGCAGTTAAAACCTGCTCTTGACAAGTCTCTCTGAACAACGCTGCAGCAGACTTGATCTCACACAGCACAGGTTCTAAGGTCCGATTTCACACCAAGAGGTTTCTCAGAACCGAGGCCTCTATGTTTTAGTGTGGTGGCCGAGGCGCTGGCTAAGGGAGGCGGTCATTCCAGGCCCCTGGGCGGTGCCCAGCCAGGAGATGCACAACCCAGGCAGGCTTCCTAGAGGGACTGGGGGACTGACTTAGGGGGCTATTCCTAGGGGAGGTCATGGCTCTCTGGGACCCAGCGCCAGGTCACACCTAGTCTTTCATCCTTTGAAGGCATTTACTAGCTGTGCTCCAAGGAAGACCTTGGTCTCCAGGACCTGGAACCTTCCTGTTCGTCTCCGGAATTGGACTTCTCAGGTCCTCCTGCAGCCCAACTCCCAGCTTAGCCAGAGGGAGCACCAGTATCTGTTTTCCTCGCCCTTCTGTCCACAGAGCCAGTGCCTGGGCACAGACAAGGCTCCCAATGTCAGTTACATGAACTACCAAGTGAAGGAATGAAGAGCTTTTCTTATAAGTAACTAGTAAAACTTCCCAGTGTGAAGTCAATGTGTTTCAGACCCAAAGAGGGGCTGCTCGGTTCTGAACAGTGGCCTAAAAGACATGAAAGGGTGGCAAAGGGTTGTGCACTTATAGACAGGCTGAGTCTGCATTGCAGCTCCGCCCTTTCCTAATCATGACTCTGGAGAAATATCTACCCTCCCGGCCTTCATTTCCTCAATCTCTAAAATGCCTGGCTCCTAGCGGTCACGAGGGTTAATGAGATCACAGATGGAAAACCCCTATCCCAGACCTTGCACGCAGCAAGCAGTACATGCCAGCCATTATTGCTGATATTGTCAATATCATCGTTATTCTAACCACATGGCACCTGTTTGCAGAAGGCCCAGGAGGAGCTAGGCCTGGAGAAGGAACAGTGCTTCCTCCTGCCTGAACTTTGTCCACCGCACTCGCAGGCAGGCCAGCGCCGGGTGCATTTATCGGCGAGCAGCATGAGGACTGTGCTCCTGGCATCAAACATACCGCCCTGTGTTTGTAAGAAGTATTCTTTTCATATGGATGAGGATCTCAGAGAGTTAAGAGGCCATCGAATCCCGTGTTTCCCTCATCCAGTGTTTTCCAACTTATTTCTGGCAGCAGACTTCTTTCTTCAAAGCAAATCCTACACAGAGCCTCCACGGAGACACCAGAGAGTGACAGCTGCTGTGGCGTATGTGGGGAGGAGTCTCGGAACCAAGCCAGTCGGCCCCTCACACACAGCACATTCCCCCCGCCCCCCATGAAGGCCCCCCAACATAGTTTCAAAGCCTTGGGATCCAACCCTTGTCTGTTTTTTAAAACTATAAAGATGTCTTTCACACAGTGGGGGAGTTGGGGGATTCCGGGGGGCTTAGCTGAGTGGGTCCGGATGGGGGTCTCCCATGAGGTGGCAGTAATATGACGGCTGGGAATCATCATGCAGAGGCTGGTTTGGGCGGGCGGACTTGACTCCAAGGTGGGGCACTCAGTCTCGGGTCAGTCCTGCATGCTGGCAGGAGTCTCAGTTCCCACCACGCCTGCCTTTCATAGAGCTGGAGTGTTCATGACACAGGGGCCGCGTCCCTGAGGGAGCGACACAAGAGAGCAGGAAGTGGAAGCCACCATGTCCTCATTGCCTACCCTCAGAAACCACACAGCATCACTTCCACAAAAGGTCAACCCTACTCAGGGGGCACCATGAGGCTGGTTACCACGTTTGCAAACCTGGAGCTGTACATCGTTTAGAAGGCATTTCAGAAGTAACCACAAACATGCAAATAATGTTTCAAAAGGATGTATATTTAAACCTAGCCAGGCGGCTTAGTTGGTTGGGGCGTCATCCATATACCAAAAGGTTGTATGGTCAGGGTACATACCTAGGTTGTGTGTTTGATCCCCAGTTGGGACGTGTACAGGATGCAACCAATTGATGTTTCTCTCACATCAATGTTTCTCTCTCTCTCTCTCTCTCTCTCTCTCTCTCTTTTCCCCCCATCCCCTCTCTCTAAAAATCAATGAAAGCATATCCTCAGGTGAGGATTATTTTTAAAAAAGGGTGTTTAGATTGGCATCCTTAGCCAAGTAACACCTTGGTTTTACAACAAAAAACTGAGGATCAAAGAAGTGAAATGCCCAGCTAAAGCTCACAGCAATTTAAGTAGAAATTTAAGGTCTCTGGATTCTAATCTGTCACTTTACATCATAATGTTATTAACAAAGACATTTCATTATAATAAAAATTGTAGTGACTTACACATGCATACAACTTTGTGACGAGGTCATCAAGGTTAAACCGAGAGTGATAGGTCATACTGACAGTATGTGCTCTTGACATGATGTGATACAAATGGCAATTTTCCTCAAATCTGTGATCTTCCTCAAACCCAAACCCCCAGTCTAATAATGGAGAAACATGGGAGAAATCTGATGTAATTGAAGGACATTCTAC